AATATATACATGAATTATGCATCCTAGTAATGATAAAACCTCTCAATGTCTAGTAGCTATTAGATGATGAACCGGACATAGGTGAGGAACCTTATCTAAGGGTGAGTAGGACAGAGAGGATTTTTAAGAGCAAAGATTAAATAAAAAACAGGCAGAAAGCACTATTTAGATTTTGGTATATGTTACATTTTGAAATAGAATTTCATCCTGTGGTAACATGCACTCTTTTGCAGGAGAAGACTGACAAAAGCTATATTGGGTGTCAGGAGTCCAGAAACATGGGCATAGCTTGACAAAAACCTGTAATTTCTGGCAGGGACAGGGTATAGGGGAGAAAACTGATCCAGAAACTCAATTTTAGAGGTGGGACCAACACAGAAACATAGTGTTAAGATTTAAGGGGTGGCTATAGATGGGTGTGAAAAGCCCGTTTTCATCCTCTCCCTATACACATGAATACATATAAGCATGCAATAAACAGACTAGAGGGGGAAGTCAAATGATTATCATCTTTGCTGATAATGCCTAAGTATTGGGAGGGTATTTCTAGAATGATGAGGAAGCTTTTGAGGCCAAGATATGGACTAATTAAAGTATACATCCTGGTGAATGGGGGATGCTAGCATTCAGGCTTCTTTGCCAGGCAAGCCTATAGCAATGCATTTAATTTGGTTGATGGTGATCAGCTTCCTAATAAACTTTTTGTCTTGCTCAGAATTGGCTTCAATACCTGCACAGGAGGAGGCTCAGTGAAGTAAAAGAGCTTCCATAGTTATGTTCTACATCCCTTCAGTAGGGAGCAGTATAGCATAGTATAAGCTATTGTTATCCCTAGTTGCTCCGATTTCAAGGTTACAAATAGACGACAGACTGGTCAAAGGCTGTCACTGATTGTATATATATATATATATTTTTTTTAGGGCTGCCTTAACAAAGTAATAATAACTGGGTATCTTAAACAATAAAAATTTGTTTTCTCACAGTTCTAGATGCTTGAACTCCAAAATCAAAGCATCAGCTGGATTGGTTACTTCTGAAGGTTGTGGGGGAGAAGCTTTTGCATGTCCCTCCTAGCATCTTATAGCCTCAGGCCTCCGTCAGTTGGTAGATGCATTTCCCTGTGTCTTCACTTCGTTTTTCTTCTGTACACATCTCTCTCTGTCCAAACTGTCTCTTTCTGTTAGGATTGGGGCCCATCCTAATAACCTCTTAATTTAATCATCACCTCTATAAAGACCCTATTTCCATAGTCACCGGTCCTGGGAGATAGGACTTTATCATGTTTGGGGAGGACACAATTTAACCTGTAATTTTGCCATCTCCTTAAGTAAGAGGTAATTCTTAGAGCCTTAAAAACACCAATGAATTTCCAGAGAGTGGAATAACACTGACTAGCACTCAGAAGCTTTTGTTTAAGCCCAACATTTGTCATATCCTGGTTGTAAGACCCAGGAAATTCTTCAGCAGTCTAAATCTCTATGTTGGGAATAACACTTAACTGAAAGGTATTATAATAAATGACAAATATAGGTAATGGTGATTTGTAAATTGTGTTATACAGATACAATCTATAATTATACATATTATTAATTTATTTTGTACTCTCTTACTCCTAAGTAATTCCAAGCACTAAGGAAAGAAAGTTGAAAGCTCTCAAGTACTTAAAGGACAAATAGAAGCAGGGACCATTATATAATTTGTTCTTGAATTAGTGATGAATTTCATTATAAACATTAACATATTATCATACACATTTTTAAATCCATTGCATGTTTCAGTTTCATACATGGAATAATTTTCTTTGCAAATGTGAGAAATATTGAGAGGCAAAACAACTTTAAAAATGTTTGCAGTTCCTTGAAGAAAAACATTGTATTGAACTCCCCTAGGGGAGGAATATACTGCTTTAAAGAATATATATTTTCCTGTCTAAACAATGATTATATAAGACTGCAAGGTCAGACCGGCTTCTAACTGCAATGTGTTAAACTTCTAGAGTTTGCTAAATGAATTTCCTCAGCCTTTTATTTTCCATGTTTGGTAAAGGCTTGGAGGCTGACCGATTGCTATTATGACCACTGTGGACACTGAAAAATGACTTAGGAGAAACAGCCACTGAGAGGAAAGACAAATAGCTTTCCAGGAGAGAGAGCTTCGTGCATGGGGTCATTAGCACTTATTCAGCTACTTAAATCTCAACTGCGTGTGGTCAGTTCCTGGATTTGGCAGAATCAGTACAGATGTTACCTTTGAATTTCCTTCTATTTCTTTCCTTTCTCTCATCCTCTCTTCCACTGATCCTCATTTGATCCCCTTGCTCTAGGCACCAAACAGATAGAAACAAACAAAATGAGCACAGCTCCTTGCCTGGTTTCTATACCATGTAACTTGATCAGCATGGTCTCTGTCCTTTAAGTAGACAGTAGCACAAACAGCCATATGCAAGATTATAAGTGCCGACTGTACTAACTAATTGGCATTTAGTGGGTAAACACTATGCCAGGCAGTATCCTAAGTCCAGAGGGTTGAGCCAGGAAGTAGACGAAACCCTCCAAGAAATTAGTCTCTAGTAGGAGTGTCCACTGAGCTGACAATTATAGTTTGTTTAAATTGCAATGATGAAGGATGTGCAGGTGCTGTGGGAGTCCAGAGGTGGGTACTTTACCAAGGTGGGAACTGGGTGTGACAGTGGGTAAGCAAGATGTCCTGAGGAAGAATATTTCACTTTCACAGTGAATTGTATTATTCTCCTTGTTATAATAAAGGAGGACAGGAGCTTTCAGTTTTAAGCTGCTACTGATAAGAAATAGTAGGTCTTGCCAAAACCGATTTGCCTCAGTGGATAGAGCGTCATAGGCCTGCAGTCTGAAAGGTCCCAGGTTTGATTCCGGTCAAGGGCATGTATCTTGGTTGCAGTAGAGGGTGTGCAAGAGGCAGATGATCGATGTTTCTCTCTGATGGATGTTTCTAACTCTCTATCCTTCTCCCTTCCTCTATGTAAAAAAAAAAAAATCAATAAAAAATATATTTAAAAAATTAAGTCTTAATTTAGTTAAACCTTGGATACCTTCCTAAGGGAACTGCAACTACGCTCTTTCAATCTGCGTATCTTAGCCCTCAAGTTGAGATTTAGCCTGTGTGGGAAATGCTGGTATTCTTTTTATAGAGTTTTCATGCTTCCCTTGACTCAAACTTCCACCTGAGAAAACTTCTCAACAGAGAGCCTAACAAAACCACACTAACTCTATGCCTTGAAAGTATACAGGATGTAAAGTATGAGACAGATCATCTATGGAAATCTATGAGAAATCAATAAACGTAGCAAGGAATACTGACCCTCAGAAACCCAAAGTTTCATAGCACATCTGGATCCTACATGGTTTGCTGCCTAATGTGATTTGCCATTCCTGATAGAGAGATTGCTTTCATAGCAGGTTCTTTCATCAGCAGGGGACCCCACTACTTCCTCAGGCTGGGAGCACCCTCCTCTGGGATTGTCTACACTGGGTCTGCCTCTCTTCAGCCATAGTCTGTGTCATATTTGGGTGATGTGGCAAATTATACCTTTCCTTATGCTAAAGCTACTGTAACAGTATGCTGTGCTATTGGGTGAGGTCAGCCCTCAAGTAGTTTTCTCTGCAATGGGTTGTTGGTAGTAACTTCTCTTGCCGAGACTACTTGAAAGTACAGCAGGGAAATGTCTTGGTAGAAGGAATTCACAGTGGCCAGGGCATATTTATGTATCTTTCCTCACTCAGAATGCCACTTCTATGTGAACAAATAGGCATATACACCTGATCTTTAATTTTCATTGATTGATTTGTCTGTTATTAAACCAGTACATTGTTTTAAATATTGTGGTTATAGAATATGCACATTTTCCAATTTCTACACATTTAAGTTGTCAAAGGGGACATCAATTTACATTTCCACAATTGCATGTGCACATTCCTATTTTCTCTACATTTTCCAGAGCAATTATCAGATTTTATTTTTGTTATTGTCAACCTGATGGGTAAAAAGTGACATTCATTTTAATTTCAATGTCCTTTATTACTAGTGAGGCTGAATAGCTTTTTATCTGCTTATTTTTTCAATCAAATTTCATCTTTTGTGATTTGTCTTTCACATTCTGACCTTTTAAGAAATTTATCTTGGTTGCTTTAAAGAATTACTTTACGTATATATTTATTATAATACTTTATATTTTAAATGTATTATGAATATCATCTGCCAGCTTATGGCTTGTCTTTTAACTGTCTTTATGGACCTTCCATCAGGATAATATTTTTAGTTTTGTTATGGTCAAATTCCTTTAATATGTGTGTTTTTGGGTATCTTGTTTAATTAAATACTCCAAAAATATTCTCCTAAATTTTCTTCTAATTCTAAAGTTAGGTTTTTTTTGTCTTGGGTAGATTTTATTTTTAAGGTTCAAGACTAAATATATTATAAGCTTAAATACTCTAATGAGACCTTTGTACATGTACACAAGAAATCATGACTCAATGTTGTAAATAAAGCAATTATTTTAACAGCAAAGTAACAACTTAAATACCAAAATAGAATGAAAAGTGATGTGTGATAAGTTCATATGATGGAATAGTATATAGAAATTATAAGGGAAAATATATTAAGGCATATAGACTTAAAAATAATAGGGTAAAAGTAGTAGCTTGAAGAAAAGCACACTATGTCAGATACTTTTGTATTATTTCCAATATTACATACACAAGTAACACTATGTATTATTACATGGATACATATTTACATAAAATATTATTAAATGGCCTGGAAAACTACATGTAAAATTCATGATGGCAAAGACATGACTATAAACATCCAAGAAGTTCACTGGACCTCATGTAGGATGGACTGAAAGAGACCTGCACTGAGGTACATTATAACGAAACTGTTGAAAGTTTAGGACAAAGAAAGAATCTTGAAAGCAGCAAGAGAGTAGTAACTCTTTACATGCAGGATATCCACAATCAGATTATCAGCAGATTTCTCATCAGAAACTTTGAAGGCCAGAAGGCAGTGGGCTGACATATTCAAAGTGTTGAAAAAAAGGTTCATTCTATAAAAAATTCTAGATCTTGAGAAACTGATTTTTGTAAGTGAGGGAGAAATTTAGACATTCCCAGATAACCAAAAGCTGAGGGTGTTCATCACTACTAGAGCTGTCCTGAAATAAATACTAAAAGGAATACTGCAAGTTGAAATACAAAACTAAACAGTAACTCAAAGCCAAATGAAAAAGATTTCCTGTAAAGGGAAATACGTAACGATAAAAGCTAGTATTATTGTAACTTTGGTTTGTAACTCTGCATTTGTTTTCTATATAATTTAAAAGAATACATAAAAACAATTATTGGTATATGTTTTTAGACAGTATAGTGTATAAAGATGTCATTTGGCATCATGAGTAACTGAAAGGGGGTGGACACAGCTTTGTAGAGAAGCAGAAGGTTATATGCTATTAAACTTCAGCTGGTACACATTCAACTTAGAGTGTTATAACTTTAAAGTGTTAAATGTAATCCCCATGGCAACCACAGAGAAAATGTCTGTAATATATACACAAGAGGAAATGAGAAAAGAATTAAAATGTTTTGCTGCAGAAAACCAACTAAACATAAAAGAAGACCATTAGTATAGGAAATGAGGAACAAAAACAAAGAAACAAACAAAAAAACAGCTATAAAGCTTATAAAAAAATGACAGAAGTAAGTCTCTCCTTATCAATAAATGTAAATAGATGAAACTCTAATAAAAGCAAAGATTGACAAGATAATTAAAATAGCATGGTCAAATATATGCTGTCTATAAGAGACTCACTTTAGATCCAGAAACACAAATACATTGAAAGTTGAGAGGACAGAAAAAGCAATTTCATGTAAATAGTAACCAGAAATAAAACAACCAGAAATGGCTATACTACCATATTTTTCGGACCATAAGACGCTCCAGACCATAAGACGCACCAGTTTTTAGAGAAGGGAAATGAAGAAAAAAAGATTCTGAAACAAATAGTGTCCTAAAATATTTTATGTGCATTAAAACCCAACATCACAGTCATAAACACATGTAATCAACCCTGTAAAGTAAACAGCAGCATTTAGAACCATTTTAGAGCCGGGCAAGCACACAGAGACCACACAGAGCCGGGCAAGTAAAAAAACTTTTTTTTAAAAGTATATGTGTAGGCTATATTTGGACCATAAGACGCAGGGACTTTTTCCCCCCACTTCTGGGGGAAAAAAGTGCGTCTTATGGTCCGAAAAATACGGTATTATATTATCAGACAAAATAGACTTTAAATCAAAAGCCTAAAAAATCAAAAGGTTATAAGGACCAAAGAAGAACATTATCTATTACAATTTCAGGAACCAAGAAAAGGACAAAATAAGCCCAAAGCTAGCAGAAAGGAGGACATAGTAAACATTAGGACAGATATTATATAAGTGCAATTAGACTAGAAAAATGATAGAGGAAAAAATCAATAAAACTAAAAGTTGGGTCTTCAAAAAGATCAACAAAGTGGACAAACATTTAGCTGGATGGATTAAGCAAAAGGGAGAGAAGCCTCCACTTACTAAAACCAGTAATGAAAGTGGAGGCCAGTGACCAGGTGTGTGCCGGTTGCCCTGGCCTGTGACCTGTCCCTGTGCTTCTCAGGTGGCGGGAGCCAGGGTGCAGACATCAAGCCTGCCTCTGCTGCTCACACTGCTCCCGCTCAGGGCCAGCCCTCCTCTACCACACAGGCCTCTGCCCTTGTTCTCAACCCTTGAGCCAAGGAGAGTGACCAAAGCACTACAGGGACACTGGTGTTTGGAGGTTCTGGCCTGGATGCCGTTGAGAGTGGCTGTGCTGTGTGAGAGCAGGTGACAACACTGTGGGCTTTGGAGGAATCCTGATGCATTTGGAGAACCCGTGAGGTGGAATGTATCACTACTGGTACACATCTATGTATGGCTTAAAATTCAAGATACGTGGTCGAATAGTAATGCGCCAGTCCCTGAAATTGGGACCTCTACTGATGATGCTGAGCAGCCTTAGCCACCAGGAAGGGTGATATTTTGACACACTTCCTGCCAAACTGTTACTGCCAGTGAGGCTCATGGGTTTCCCAAGACAGAAATCAAGAGGTAACCCAGGAGAAATTTCCAGACAGATTTTATTAAGCTTTTTATTAAGGGAGGCAGCAAGGAGGAAATGAAGGTCCCTCAGACTGTCTCAGGGGCTGGCTTTGTTTGGCTCTTTTATAAGCTGGAGGGGGCGTGGGGGGAGGGCGGGGGGGGGGGGTAGAGACAAAGTGGACTGTTAGAAAATTCCACAAGCCCATTTTTTTTTCCAATGTCAATAGAAGCAAGTGGAGATAAGACATTGTTGGGTTTTTGTTTTTATTTTTATTTTTTTAGGGAGTGGAGGGACAGTTGCATTCTTGACTGGCTTATTCGGTGTGCTTTTGGCCATTTGGTATCCCTGGGGTCCTGGTGAGGGATGACAGGATGGGGCCAGTTCTGTGTTTATTTTTTATCTGGTGTCCTTGGGGATCCTGGGCCCAGGCCCTATGCTGTCTCAGTGGAATATATGAGAAGAGAAGAAGCTGCCATTGTGGCTTGCCAAAAAGTGATTTCAACCTTCAGAAGTATTTTTCAAGCTTCTTTGGGGCTGTTACCTGTGCCAGTGCGACTGGAAGTTATGGTGCTACTTCCAACATAATTTCATAGTTTATAATTGTCTAAAAAATAACCAACTTAAGAAAAAAGTTGCATCTAATCCATCTTTTTGGTCAGCATCTATGTAAAAAGCCAATTAAAGGAAATGTAGGAAAATTAGACTTCATTGAAATTAAAAACTTTTGCCCATCAAAAGACACTATTGATAGAATGAAAAGGCAACCCACAAAATGGAATAAATATTTGCAAATTATGTATCTTACTAGAGTCCCAGTACACGAATTTGTGCACCTTGAAAGGTATTTTGGGCCACGAGGCTGAGGTGGGCTCAGGGGTGGGAATTAGGCCTTTCTGTCACAATAAGCTTAATGTAAAAAACTTGACTATTTATGCAAAGAAGCCAAGAGCTAGAAAAGAAATGTGATTTGCTTCAGGTTCATAACTTTGGGTCAGAAACTAAATCTGCACTTTGCATTCCATGCCCTTCCTCTTTAGAAGGGGGCTGTTAACAGCCTGCAATCTGGGGAGGTGATGGTTTTTCCATCTTGCTATATATTCTTTTGGTGTTCAACGACTGTGTTAACCACCTGTGTCACACAGAGAAAGTAGTCCCCAATCAGTCATGATCCTGACACAGAAGGCAATGGAATGGGGAGATTCAGAAAGGATTAAGAGGTGTACTTATCTCTGGATGTTGTCTTGTAGGAAATAAATAAGGTTGAGTTTTTATTGGATGCCCTGTAAATAATTCTGAGATGGAATATATATAGAACACTCACTTTGCCAAGTCTACAGCATCTTTTATAAAATGGAATAAATTCATGAAAGTGAATTTTAATCTTTCTTCAAATGTGAAAACTTTAAAAGCATTCCCTTAGAAGTTCAAAAGAAAGGGAAATCTGATTGACTTACTTTTTAAAAATACATTTGTTTTGACTTCAGAGAGAAAGAAAGAGGGGGAGAGAGAGAAAGAGAGAGAGAGAGAGAGAGAGAGAGAGAGAGAGAGAGAGAGAGAGAGAGAGAGAGAGAGAGAATGAGAATAAATCATTGATTGGCTGCTTCCTGCCCTCCCCACACTGGGGATTGAGTCTACAACCTGGGAATGTGCCCTGAGCAGGAATTGAATTGTGACCTCCTGGTTTATAGGTTGATGCTCAACCACTAAGCCATGCCATATAACTTACTTTGATGAGAATCTGACCATTACATTAATGGTCTGACTCTAAATTTAGGAAAACAGAAGGTGTTATCCTCCAGGCAAAAAGCATATGACTCATAATTCAAACATGAGTCTTTGGTTCCCCAGCATGGCCCTATTCTTATGTGAATAAAGATTTAGTAGTTTCAGTCAACATTAGGCCAAGTTAAGAAGAAAAGCATTCAGTCTGTGGTACCTGAAAAAGTGGGTCTTTACTTGGACATAAGTATTGCTGAGGATTCTTGTGGCTGCATTTCTGATCTATCAGAATTATTGAGGGCACTCTGAATATTGAGGCGAACTTGCCTTTTATCGTGCTTATAAACAAAGTTCACAGAACCAACAGCAAAGGTAAGTGCAGTGTGGCATTTCCTGCTGCCTTCTGCCTTCATAGCATCATAACCTTCAAGGTGCATCAAAATGCCACCATGCTTGCCCTAGCTGGTTTGGCTCAGTGGGTAGAGTGTTGGCCTGTGGACTGAAAGATTCCTGGTTTGATTCTGGTCAAAAGTATATGCCCAGGTTGCTGGCTTGATCCCCAGTGGGGTCATGCAGAAGGCAGCCCATCAATGATTCTCTCTCATCATTGCTGTTTCTCTCTCTCTCTCACTCTCCCTTCCTCTCTGAAATCAATTAAAAAAAAAAAAAAGATGCCACCACTCTGAACAGATTTAATTGTCTGTGAATTCAGCAGAAGTGCTCCAAGCCAAAATAAAAATGAACAAAAACCAAACATACAAAACAAAAATTCTGATGTTAATTAAAAACTCCTATTTTTATTCTGTTTATGGTTGATGAGAAGGGAAAAAAAGGTTTTCATTGTAAGCATTTTCCTTATACATTTGTGAATATAGCTTTTGCTGTTTATTTCAAATGCCATTTAGAATTTTTAGAGATTGATGCTGGGTTTACCAATTGTTGTTGTTTTGTTGTTGTTTGTTTTTTGTTTTTAAACAGGTCTGAGGCTGTTCTATTTTGTTAGAATTTGGCTTTTATAAAAGCATGTTTTGTGTGTGTGTGTGTGTGTGTGTGTGTGTGTGTGTGTGTGTGTTTTCCTTTCTGAACTCATGTGTAAGTCCTACCTTCTAAATATGACATGACATGTGGGAACTCTCAGCTGGCTGGTAACATTTGACGGGGGGAGGAGAAGACAATCTGTCATTCAGATCACTCAGACTTGCAGGCCTAGGCCCGCTGCAGGTTGGGCAGTTTGTTGAACTGAGGGTCACAGTTTAGGAGCTCAAAGTGAACTTTTACTTCCCTGGTGGAACTCGGCACTCAAATGAAGGTTCTTGACATTTCTCCTGATTCTGTATTCCCACTATCTTTCGAGTAACATTTGGAATAAGAATTTGCTAGCTTTCAGACTGACCTAGGTCCCATTGACTTATTCAGACAGAG